CCAAATTGCCAGTACCATGTGATCTGCTGTGACCAATCACAGCAGGTCACATGACAGTTGTATACAATGGATGGCTTAGTTTCATGCCATCCATTGTATACTAGTGTGTCTAGCTGTGAATTGTCACAGTGATCACATGCACAGGCTGGACCAATCCAAGCTCATCTGTGTCATGTGATTAGCCATGGCCAATCACAGCTAATCACAACAAAAAAACCTGAATGAATCGATTTAATTCCATTAAATGCTTGCTTATAGCAAATAAATTCTTTGCTATAAGCAGTCAAATTGTGTAAAAAAAAAAAAAAATACTGATCACTTCCCCAAAGTAGTACAATGTTAATATGGTAACATTATACTACTTTGATCATAGTGTAATATGAAAAAAACAATCTTACAAAAAGAGAAAAAATGTAATAATAATAAAAAATGTTTTTTTAAAAATGTAAAAAAAATTATCAATTTTTGTTTTCGGACTGTCATCAGCCAGTGTCCCTGATCACCACCACACCAGTTATATGATGATGCTGTACTGCACCGGTGACAGTATGTAAAAACAAAATTGTGAAAAAAAATTTTTAATTTCTTCATTTTCCAAAAAATTACAAAAATATTACAAGGTAAAAAAACTTGCCATGCCTCTTATGAAATACGTTGGACTGTCTACTTTGCAAAAAGGGGTCATTTGGGGGATATCTGTACTGTTCTGACGTTTTTGGGCCTCAAGAAATTAGATTGGCTGTCAGTACTTCAGGATTGATCAATTTTCAGATCTATACCATAGTTTGTGAACTCTATAACTTTCCTACAAACTAAATAATAAATACTGATTTGGGTTACTCTCACCAAAGAAATGTAGCAGAATACACCTTGGACTAAATTTATGAAGAACAATTATATATTTGCAAACAAAATTTTTGTTTTTTTTTTTTTGTTAATTTAGCAAAAAATAAAAACCCCAGTGGTGATTAAGTACCACCAAAAGAAAGCTCTAGTTCTGTGAACAAAATTATAAAAATTTTGTTTGTGTACAGTGTTGCACCGTGCAATTGTCATTCAAAGTTGGAGAGAGCTGAAACCTGAAAATTGGCCTGGGCAGGAAGGGGGTATAAGTGCCTGGTATTGAAGTGGTTAATGAAGATGTCATTCCCATTCACATTCACTGTGCACATTCACACATACATAGACAGCTGTACCTTCAGAATATCAAAAGATAGGAATCAGCAACAAAATTTGTTAAAATCCTTGCAATGTACATAGATCACCCAGAATGAATGTATTTCTTACTACTGCATAGAAAACATGTAAGGTACTGCTATCTTAGGCTCTATATTAACCACAAATTCCCACTATGACTAGTTAATGAAGCTTTAATGCTATACTGCTCTTATGAATGAAGGCATGCTGTTCAGCGATGATAGACAGGGTTACTGGACATCTATCTTTTTCCCTTTTTTTCCTTTAACAGAATTTAACCCATCCAACTCATGTGTTCCACCAAATTGTGGGTGTGGCCAGTGGGTTCACAGTGGGAGGGGATTAAAGAGCCATGGTTAAAGTGGTTGTAAATCCTTCCATATACCGAGTGAAGTGACTGGCCTCAGGTGATACACAGAGATTAAACTAATACTTGTAAGCATGTTGTACTTGTTTATCTGCAGCTATCTCTTCTCTACAGCCGTTCAAAATCCAGAATGCATAAAACCTGTCCAAGCTGTCAGAGAAAAGGGTGAGGAGAAAGGGCCGGATCTAGACAGTCTGCTGTGGGGATGCAGTAAAATATCTCGGGGGGCAGAGGATGTGAGGTCGGTAGGGCAGTGTGCAGGGGGCCAGCAGGGCAGGGGATAGGGTCAGCAGTTTATAGTACAGTCTACAGAGATCATTAGTATGTAGGACAGTGTACAGTAGGTTATCAGAGCAGAGGACAGTGTGCAGGGGGTCAGCAGGGGAGTGTAGAAGAGACAGTGTACAGAGAGTCAGCAGAACAGAGGACAATGGTGAGCAGGGTGGAGAAAAGGTGTTGTCAGGTCAGCAGTGCAGAGGACAGGAGTCAGCAGGGCATAAGACATTGGTCAGCAGAGAAGAGGACAGGGTCACTGCTGGCAGAGCACTCAGCAGGTCTCCTCCACCCTTCCCCACACTACAAACAGCTTGGGTACTCAGAGCTCCTCCACCCCACACAACACATAGCCGAGATCAGATTCCCTCGGCAAGCCAACAGCACAATGCAATAATTCCCCCTCTAAATCCAAGTCCAAATCCCCCCTCTCAACACAAATCTTTGCCACTCAATCCCACCTCCCAGCTCAAATCTCCAATTCCTCCTGCAAAAATATCCCCTATCCAAAAAAATCACCTTTCTAGCACACATCTTTTCCTCCAGATTTCTCATCCTAGTGTCCCATCCTATTACTCTTCTCAGCACAAATCCTCCCTCCCCATCCAAATCCCCCTTCCTAGCACAAATCCTCCCCAGCCCTCTCCTCATAATGCAAATCCCCCCCCCAATCCCCCTCCTAGCACATATCCCCCCCAATCCCCCTCCTAACACCCCCCCCCATTCCCCCTTGCTAGAATATATTCCCCCAATCCCCCCTTCTAGCACATATTCTCCAACCCCCTTTCATAGCACATACTGTCCTCTTTTCGCCTCCTAGCACATATCCTCCCCCTCCCCCCTAATCCCCCTCCTAACACATATCCCCCATAATCCTCCTTCATAGCACATACCGCTCAATCCCCCCTTCAAGCACATATACCCCCAATCCCCCCTTCAAGCACATATACCCCCCAATCCCCCTCCTAGCACATATCCCCCCTAATCACTCCTCCTTGCACATATCCCTCCCAATCCTTCCTCCTTGCACACATCCTCCCTAATCCCTCCTCCTTGCACAAATCCCCACCAACCCCCCTCTTTGCACATATCCCCCCAATCCTTCCCTCTTGCACATATCCCTCCTCCTTGTACATATACACCTCCCCCCAATCCCTCCTCCTTGCACATACCCCCCTAATCCCTCCTTCTTTCACATATTCCCCCAATCCCTCCTCCTTGCACATATCCACCCCCCAATCCCTCCTCCTTGCACATATCCCCCCCTAATCCATCCTTCTTGCACATATCCCCCCTAATCCCTCTTCCTTGCACATATCCCCCCAATCCCCCTCCTAGGACATATTCCCCTCCAATATCATCTCCTAGCAAATATCCCTCCCCAGTACAAATAGTCACTAATCCCTCCACCTCTAATCTCAAACACAAATTATTTTCACCCCCCCGCCCTACACACACACACACACACACACACTAGTTCAGACTGCACACAGTTTAATTACCTGCACCTTGCCCAGGGACAGACTGACAACTCATGGGGCCCCCGGGCAATAGGGGATCATGGGGCCCCTGTGTCCATGCCCAAACTCAAAAAAGCCTATGAAAACGGTACCAGGGACATCTCATGGGGCCCGCTACTGACCCCGGGCCCTCGGGCAGTGCCCGAGTTTCCAAATGGTCAGTCCGTCCCTGACCCTGCCTCATCCAAGTCCTGGCAGTAGGAAATGTGTCTATGGGGTGGGTAATTAAACTGTGTGCAGTCTGGACTAGCGATCCTGTGTGTGTGGAGGAGCGCTCCTCTGACAGGAAGGAGAGGGCACAGCACAGCCTCTCCTGTCTACCGCTGCGGCTGTCTGGCCTTAGCTGAACACAGATTACTGCACCAGGCTGAGCACTTGTGTTTGGGGCCCGCCCTGTGTCTGGGAATAGGGGAAGGTACTCGGCCATCGACCGTCAGCCAGGGCGTGCACAACGGAAATCTGGGGGGGGGGCGCAGCCCATCCCAGCACCCCCCTAGATCTGGACATGTGAGGAGAGCTGAAATTATACACTGCAGAGCTCAGTGAGGAGAGCTCTGAGAGCTGATTGGAGAGAAGGGACACACCTCCCTTCACACAACACACAGGAACAGAGTGGAGGCTGTCAAATACCCTACCCTGTCCCTACCCTGTCACCTTTTTTCTCTTAGAAAATTTGTCAGAAGTGATTCATGCAGATAGCACAGGAACAGGACAGCAGGCAGAAATTAACACCTAGTGCACTGTAATGAGATAAGTACACACTGTAGAGCATCCTTTTCAAACAAACACCTAAAATAACCTTCTAGGCTCAGGAAACCCCTGCAAAAAATTACTATACCTACAAATCATGATACATTAATGTGATGGTCAATGGGAAGAATGCTCCTTACATTTGTGGTCATTGGTAAGAATTACCCCCTTACAGAAAACTAAAAAGATCAATGGTGTCAATGGGAACTTATCTGAGAGTCAGAAATTGCTCATTGCTCAAGGGACCCCTAGTACTCTCTGGAGGAACCCTAGGGTTCCATGAAACCCTGGACGAGAAACCATGCTGTAGAGGGATATGCTTTGCTATTATTTCAGGTCTGAGGTTCACAACCATTTTCAATAAAACCTGAGTTTACACACTGTATACACAGCACTCATGCCCCAATACTCTCAGGAGTGCATAATGCACAGAGTGCAGGGCTCAGGAATGTGTAACACACCAGGCCACTACACAATACAATGAAAAAATTACCCCTCATGCCTGTACAATTCTAACCCCTGAAGCCTATATCCCACACAGGGCAAATCTCAACCAGCAGGCCCAATCTCCCCTAGTATAGATCTTTCCCCACAGGCCTGAATCCCCCCCCCTCCCAGACCACCACCTCAGCACACATCCCTTTCCCAGCCTAACCCCTCAGTACAGCCCCCCCCCCAGTACAGCCCCTCTTGCCATCCTAAGCACTCAGTACAGACCCCCTCTCAGTGCAGTTCCCCTCAGTACAGACACCCTCCAGTCCCCCCCAGCACAGACACCCCTAGTATAAACCCCCCTCAGTACAGTCACCCCAGTACAGACACCCTCCCCAGTACAGGTTACCTAAAACAGACTTGTGCAACATGAAAACAAAAATCAAGGGCTGGCTGGCACCCAGGGGCGGACTGACCATTTGGAAATTTGGGCACTGCCCGAGGGCCCGGGGTCAATAGGGGGCCCCATGAGATGACCCTGGTGCCTTTTTCATAGTCTTTTTGAGTTTGGGCAAGGACACAGGGGCCCCATGATCCCCTATTGCCTGGGGCCCCATGAGTTGTCATTCCGCCCCTGCTGGCACCCCCACATTACACCAGTACCTGGTGTGGACCACACACCCCCCCCTAGGTACACCACTGAGTCTACTATATCCAACACCTGTGTACAGGGGGTCACATGACTGCTACTTAGTAGTTGGAACATTTCAAAATTTTGACATATGACTCAGTCCAACCTAGGATGTTCTCTATAAGCATTAGGTGACTGGAAAGAAGTTAAATGTTTTTTTATTACAGATATTAGCTCCATGGCTATAGTTCATTAAATAAGCACTTAGCTGTGCGGAGACATGTAACCGTAGTTTTTTTAATTAGACCTTCATGGCTGATTAGTGACTTAATTTATTGGCTTCTTTAATTCTGTTTTCTCAATTAAGTTAATTTCCCTTATATGTCTTCATTTTATCATGTTAATTGACATTATTATTAATCATGTGCTTTTAATAAAAACCGGTTGTTAAGCTGTGTCGCGTATCCAACTGTTTAGTAATAGGGCTGTAAATATAAGAGAAAGGAGGTGACATTAAATTCACTTCATAATATTAAGAAGCACTTTCAAGCAGGTGAGTAACAATGAGTACAATTCTGGTAAACAGTAGTGTAATGTATGCAGACTTTGGTTTACTGTGCTATTGTAATATGGTTCCAGATCCACTTTAATGGGATCGGGTCACTTTAACAAAAAACAAGCAGGTGATGGCTATGAAGAGCAGGCCCTCTCCATTGAATGCTGGAAAGTTCTGGCAACTCTTCAACATTTGCCACCTAGTATCAGAGCTTGCCTGCTCCTTCCCACCTACTGTATACACATTCCTGTTGGCTCATGATGGCCATAGACCATGGGCTTCCTCCTTGGCCAAGGGGAGGTAGGAGGGGGTGAGCAATCTTCAGCGCTACCTGATAAGGTCTGGTATTAGCACTAACCTCAGGGAGAAGGTAGGAAGGCCTTACACCATGATGCTCAGCCTGACACTTCCATTATGACAGTGAGAGAATACATTTACATTTATTTAAATAATTAATTAAATTAAATATAATTATTTTTTACAGGCATTTACATAGCACTTTGCATACTGTACATTTACATCAGTCCCTGCCCTCTAGGAGCTTACAATCCAAAGTCTCTATCTCACATGTATATACATGCACACAGCCACACACACGTACTAAAGCCATTCCTAGATTGTAAGCTCCAAGGAGCAGGGCCCTCCTATCCCTCTTGTATTGAACTGTATTGTTGCTGTATTGTCTCCCTTTATATTGTAATACGCTGAGCAAACTGATGGCGCTGTATAAATCCTGTATAATAATAATAATTTGGAACTAGAGTCAATTAACCTACCAACATATCAAAACACTATACACTGCTCCACATCGGTCCACTTCTCTCTAACCCCAAAAGCACAGGTGCCATTCTGGCTCATACCCCAGAACATGGACACTTTACAGTTGGATGACCGCACAATGCTATTACTAAAATCTATATGTGTATTGAAAACAAATGAAAAATCCCAACTATCATGACGCACAAGAACATGTGTTGACACGTTTCGCGATATCAGGCAGGCACTCTAAGTGATATTAAAGTCTTTAACCACTTGCTTACAGGGCACTTATACCCTTTTCCTGCCCAGGCCAATTTTCAGCTTTCAGAGCTGTTGCACTTTGAATGACAATTGCATGGTCATGCAACACTGTACCAATATGACATTTTTATAATTTTTTTTATACAGATAGAGCTTTCTTTTGGTGCTATTTAATCACCTCTGAGCTTTTTATTTTTTGCTAAACAAACCAAAAACAACTGAAAATTTTGAAAAATAAAAGTTTTTTCTTAGTTTCTGTTATAAAATTTTGTAAATAAGTGATTTTTCTCCTTCGCTGATGTGCGCTGATGAGGCTGCAGTGATGGGCACTGATAGGCTGCACTGATAGGCACTGATAGACGGCACTGATGGGCACAAATGAGGAGGCACTGGTAGGTGGCACTGATGGGCATTGACAGGCATTACTGATGGGCACTGAAAGGCAGCACTCATAAATGGCACTGATAGGCGGCACTGACTGGCATTGATAGGCAGCACTGATTGGCAGCACTGATAGGCGGCACTGACTGGCATTGATAGGTGGGACTGACTGGCACTGATAGGTGGCACTGAAAGGCAGCTCAGATGTGCACTGATATGTGGCATTGCTGTGCACTGGTAGGCACTGATATGTGGCATTGATGTGGCTCTGATGGGCACTGGCATGTGGCATTGATGAACACTGACAGGTAGCATTGATGGACACTGACAGGTGGCACTGATGGGGCTACACTGATCATCAGGTCACAATGATCATCAGTGCCCTGATGATCAGTGTAGATGTCCCCTCTGAGTAATGCCGATTACCGATTCTCCTCACGAGCTGCCAGCATGACAGCTTATGGGGAGAGAAATGCTAATAACCGGCATTTCCTTGTTTACATGCGATCAGCTGTGACTGGACACAGCTGATCACATGACAGAGCCGATGTCTTCGGCTTTTTCTGTTGATTGGTAATCCGCTGTGTCCCAGGGGCACAGCGCACCACTGATTGCCGCATGTGCGCCCCCAGTGGCGCGCATGCGCGGTTAGAGTGGGAGGACGTCATATGATGTCCTCCCAGAACGAGAGAACCGCCTTGCGCACGTCATTTTCTTATATGGCGGGTGGGAGGCGGTTAAAAAAAAAAAAAAAACATCTTGTACTTACCTACTCAGTTCACAGAGCAGCCCCAATCCTCCTCTTCTTGGGTCCCCCACCTGTGCTCCTGGTCCCTCCCTCCTGCTAAGTGCTCCCACAAATGCTGCTCTGCATGTCCACTCACATAAAGAACTGCGGCTCAGCTTCGCCCCCTCTGTCTCCTAATTGGCTCACTTCCTGTGATTGACAACTGCTGCTATAGCCAATCATGAGTGAGAGTCCCTGGAGAGCTGAGGCTCTTGTGGACATCGCAGGATCAAGAGGGGGCTCAGGTAAGTATTAGGCGGACTGCTGGGGCTGCTGTAAACAGAAAGTTTTTTACCTTTATGCATAGAATGCTTGAAGGTGAAAAGCCTTTAGAACCACTTTAATGATAATATGTAACACTATTTGGACTTGATTTTTTTCAATAAAATTATGGATCTTAGTAATAATAGTGTGTGGTCATCCACCTATTCATTTTCCAGGTTCTTTGTTACAAACCGGACTGGCACCTGTGTTTTTGGTGTTAGAGAGAAGTGGACAAACCTGGAGCAGTGTACAGTGTTTTAAATTGCTGGATTTCGTATAAACCACTTGCTCGGTAAGTGCTCTACTGACCTCTTCTGTCTTTAAAGACTTTCAACCTAACAACTTTTCTTTGGAATATGGGAGTAAATCAATGCAAGCACAGGAAGAACATGCAAACTCTATTAAATAATGAAAAATTAATGTGGTAGAAAACTCCAGATGTAGATTTTTACCTAAAGGTAAGCTTACATGTGGGTCAAATGAACATATCCTAGATGTGCACCCTTCAGGAGAAATTCACTTGGTTGGCAGCCGGTGATGTCACCACCGCATGCGCTCTGAAGGAACAGCATGTATAAATGCATGACAGTTGCCCATTGTTACCTAAATCTTTTGGGAACTAAATTGCCAAGGTGTAGAGTTGGATACACTGACTTTTAAAGGGTCTGCCTATAGCCTATTCACATTTTAGAGGTCTGACATGCTAAATACAAGTCTGGCATGCAGCAATGTGCTTATTTTCTGCATCTGGCAAGTGGATGAATTGCCTTCCACTTCCCCTGGGATGTCCTTAGAATCACCGGTCAGCTTTCATCCACTGATTACATCACATTAGGAAATACAAGCCCTACACAAGACTCTTGACACTATTAGTACATGATTACAAGATGCAGGAAATTTGTATCTGGCATAAAGTTTTATTCATCTTTCACCACTAGTTAATAATACATAAAGAAATGTTTGAAATACAAGTTATACTTTACCCTCAAGTGTTGTAATATGCAGTTATTTCTGGTTGAATGGATGACCTTAATGGTAATTGTGCTACGGTTTTGTCCAGAATTTATTCAACTGTTTACACCCTCTATCAAAGGGCATATGACCCCTTCAGTTAAGTGCTGAATATGGCAGAATTTATTCAACTGTTTACACCCTCTATCAAAGGGCAATTTCTTCTTTCAGTCATCAATGTGGGTGAATATTATAGTACTATTAAAACAAAATAATGATTCACAGACATTTGGACAACTGACGTTTTTACACTGGAACATAGATTTTAACATAAGAATACCAAAATTCTGCTGCAGAAGGACATGGGTAGATTGTGCGCAACTTGAGTAATAAATCTGGATTCACATCTACAGTATACTGTATGTCTGTGATATCCTGCATTCCCATCAATAATTCCTTTAAAGCGTGTGCCAACCCAATTAAAAAAAATATACAGATATGTACTTTTTTGACTGACAATGTATCAACAGCCCGCACAAATATTATTTGGCGTAAATTAAAACAATGGCAAACCTGTGTATCTGTGTTCATATGCATTAAAAAAACACATACGTGTAAAGGGGCCTTGAACGGTTGCTTCTCAGTATCCTTGTGTAACCCATTTTACTGCTCTGGATAGTTGGTGGCATGGTTTTGCTTCAGTGTTATGTTTATTTTTCACTTTTGCCTTGGTTCTGATTTGTTGGTGTTGGACATGTGTCGTGTGCATTAATAAACTTTTTAAAATTATGCTCAGTCTGGTTCCATTTTCCTTTAAGTGTTACTAAACCCACAACAGTAAAATCAGTCTGTATATGCAGTAAAGCATGCTTGTTATACTCATTATGGAATCTAAGGGGTTTATCCTCTTTGTCTAAAAATTATGTTTGATCCTGTCTCTGATCATCCCCTTCTTCCACAGTCCCCAATCTATCTCCTGGTAATACCGAGCCTTGGAATTAAGCTGCACATGTTCAGTTTGGTGTGTATTGCTAGAGATTTTTTTTTTTCATTAGAGAGTGCCTGTGATGAGCACA